ATGAAATGCATGCATCATGAAATGCCTTAAGGCATGCTAGCAGAGATTTTTCCGGAATTCCAGAGATCACTAAAACGAGCTACATCCGTCCGCAGGTTTTCTAACACCATTCCTTCAAGCCAGATCACCCCCAAGTGCGGGCAAGGAAAGCGCAAATCGGACCGAATCTTTTCTGTTGCTGTGGGCAGACCAAGGGGGCCTAGGTGGGGGTTGGGTGGGGGGTGGTGAAGATCCGTATCGCACCTCATCCATCATCGCCCGTATCGCCTCCGGGAAATTCCTCTTCACACCGTCACCCCCCACGGACTGTCTTATAGACGGTTCACGGTGATTTATGCTCCGTTTAGGGGCAATTTGGGAGGGGGCATTATGGATGGGGAAACGTTAATTTTGAGGGAGAGAGGCCAGCAGAGAAAATTGATGAATTACGAAAACAGCTATCAGGGTGTTTCTTGGGCCAAGCCCTGGTTGTTAAGAAAGCAGGCTAGGAGAGAAAATTTGGGAAATACGGCTGGCGAGAAGCAAAACACATCTAGCAGAAAACATTCCGAAGCATTAAGCCGATGTTACGAACGCGTGCTAGCAGTGAAGATTGTTGATTTAGAAAAACAACTAGCAGAGAAAGTGGATAAATAGCCAAATCATGACATGAAAGCCCTAAAATTGCAAAAAAGTGATTTTTAGAGGGCAGGCTAGCAGAGAAAATTAGGGAGCTAGCAGGGTAGCTGGCAGAAGGCCTCTAAAAATGGGTACCAAAAAATTTTTTTTTTTTTTTTTTTTTTTTTTTTTTTTTTTTTTTTTTTTTTTTTTGGGTTTTTTTAAGAAAGGGGAAAAAAAAAAAAGGAGGAAAAAGGGGGAAAATAAAAAATTTTTTTTATTTTTAAAATTAATTTTTTAAAAATTTTTTTTTTTTTAAGAGGGAAATAAAAAAAGGGGGGGGGGGGGGGGGGGGTATAAAAAAAGGGGGGGGGGGGGGTTTTTTTTTTTTTTGTTTTTTTTTTGTGGATAAAGAAAATTTTTTTTTTGGGGTGCTGGAAGGGGGGAAGGTTGGGCGGGTATGATCTTAATGAGGCAACCTAGCAGAGAAAATTGCGGAAAAGCTAGCTAGCAGCTAGCTTGCCTAAAGCTATTAGGGACGGATATGCTATTTTAATGAGGTAGGCTAGCAAAGGAAATTGTGGGAAATTCATAAACAAGCTAAAACTAGACTAAAATTAAATGGGACCCGCTATTCTATAGCCGAACCCTTTCATAATTATGAGCCCATCACTGCTGCAATGTTTGCAATTTCCCGCGAAAATGGGATGGCGAAATGACGAAATTTGCAGTAGCAGCTTGCTACTGCTCTTGCCAACCGCAAAGAGGCTGGCAAGTGGAGAGGACAAGCCGGCCGTGGGGTGCCGGCCGTTTCGAAAGTTACACTTTGACCCGGGCTAGTCAAGCGCGCCAATTGGCAAAACGGCATGTAAAGAGGAAAAAAAGGGATTTTGCAGGTTGAGCATGACTCAGAAAAAAACGAAATGGACCTAAAAACTGAAAAATTAGGCTAAACAAGCCGAATCCTCCAGGAAAGACCCAAAAATTGAAAATCTGGAAAAATCAAATCAGTTATCAAAAGCAGCCAAATAGGAACTGAGGGAATTTTTTAGCTTCTAAATCTTCAGAAAAAGCGGAATCTTACTTAAAACACTGAAAAATTAAGTGAGTCAAGCTAATGGCGAGCGCGAACCGGCAAAATCAAATACAACGAGGAAAAGCGAGAATTTTCCGCCTAGAAAAGGACCCAAAAAACCACAAAAATCATCCCGCCATTGATCCACCCAAACTGATCCCGTCGCCGAAGATCAAAAATTGGCAAAACCGAATGCAAAGCGGAAAATAGGCAATTTTCTAGGTAAAAATAGCTCATAAAACACAAAAATGCGCCTGAATAACTTCTGAAAAAATTTAAATTTAGAAAATCGTCTCAAATAAACCATAAAAACACTCAAAGAAACAGAATTAGCTTCCGCAAAACTGCAGTACTCGCTTCGATAAGGATCTACAGGACATGGCACTTGAAGGAGGGGGAGAACCGGTTTTGTTGGCAACACAAAGGCCCGCCCGACACACATGTACCGAAAAAGAAAACAGGCGGAAGGGGGCAGGTGGACGTGTGGAGATAAACGGGTTAGCGGACGAGTTTTTGGGGGATTTGGGGATTTTGGGATTATCGTGAGGTGGAGTTATCAAAAAGGAGACCGAGCAGGTCCAAAACGAACGAGAATTCTGCCAGCTTCTCGTAGATATCGACAAAAATGCATATTTAATCGCCGCGGTTTGTTGTTGTGTGTGATGTTTGTAAAATAATGCTTATAAAGGTGCGAAACTTGACATTTGAGGCAAGACTGAGAGTGATAATTCAGAGTGAGGAGGAGAAGGCGCCCAAGGTGAATTACGCAACAAAATCCGGAAACTGAGAATTCGAGAAACATGAGCATGAGCTTCGAATTAAGACGAGCTCGAGTCTTTGAACTTTTTGAACAGCTCCAAAAACGGCATATTTTCCTCGAACTAATGGAAAATGGTCGTGTTCCAGGTCTAGCATCGCATGGAGTTAAAAAAAGAGTTTGAATCCGATAAATTTTTTTAATCGAAAAGCGGAAACACGAAAAGGGCGATCGAAACCCTCAAAAAACGCGATGTTTCTGGCTGGAATCCAATGATTTTCGGCTCCCGAATCCAGAAAAACTCGCTTAAAACCAAGCCATACGCCCCGGCAGGCGCAAAAGATGCGCAGGATGCGGCTTACTCTCTCCTAGGCTAAAAGCGGAAACACGAAGAGACACAAGGCGCATAGCCAAAGCCTTGGTGCGGCTGATGGATGACGTGATGGACGGGGAAGGGTAGAAAGAGAGCTCTAAAGAAGGAGAAAGATAACCAATAGAGAGAGGGTGCAGAGTGTAGCGCGGCAGGGAAGAGCTCGATGGGGTGGATTGGTGCCCGGGGAGGAACCAACGCGTTGCGGGGCGTAGTGGTGGGGGTGGAGCGAGGCATCATATAAAAACCGGAGGCACAGAGCCCTTTTGCTGGCGGTGGCTGCTGCTATTCTGTGCCTTTTCTGGGGGCTCTCCAAGCGTTTAGGGTTCTCTAATGTGTTGCGGTGGTGGGGTGTCTGGGTGCTCTGCATGTGAGGTGGTCTCTAGGGGAGTATCTGGGTCTCTTCTGGAACTGCGACCTCTAGGTTTTCTGCTGTCTCTGCGGTGGATACACGCGCTAGAGCCTGTCTTCGTCTATTCTCACTCTGTGCGCTCTCTCCCTCTCTCGATGTCTGTCTCTCTCTCTCTCTCTCTCTCTCTCTCTCTCTCTCTTCAGTCCAACCCTCCTTCACTCCCTCTTTCTGTAAGATCCCTCTGCGCCTCTGCTCTTCCCAGCTCTCTCGCTCCCCAGAATCCTCTCTCCAAGCCCTTGATCCCTCTTTCTCGCGGTCTCCACCTCCGTCCCACCCTCTCACCTTCCCAAAGCCTCTCCAACCGGCCGATCTCTTGTTTCTCTCTCGCTCTCCTTTCCCCCAATACCTTCCCGTCCAAAGATCAATACCCCAGAAGCTCATGCAAAGCCATTGCTCGAGAAGGTGCCTGGTGGGGTCCATTGGTGCCGCGCGGAAATGAAGGGGAAATTATGTAGGAGTGCGTACCCTTTTGTGTCCCGGGGTGTCGGGTGGGTAATGAAGGTGGCGGGCGTTCGGGGGGTAATTCTCTCAGTAATTCTGGCTTCAAAAGGGTGAACGGCTTTAAAGGGCCCTATAAGTGAAAATTACGCTAGGTAGACCATTACCGTAATTACAAATAATGATGTGACTTTGCGCCGTTACGGTATCTAAAAATGCGCTATGCGATGGGCTACAGTAATCGTGAGTAGGACACGCTTAAAGGCAGCTGCAAGTTGAAAATACGGTAGATATGTTCTAGAATACAGTATCTTACTTGCGTACCGTACTATACGTACAGTATCGTACAGTAACGTGCACTACAAGCATAAGTACCTAGTTCCAATTCGCGAAGGCTACAGTAATCCAGAATTTTGCGTTTTGAGGCTTAAAAGGATTGCCAACTCCGAATTACAGTATACATACCGTAATAGTGATTATGTTCAGTGTAGTAGCGTAGCGTAGCGTAATGCAGTAATTAAAAAAAATTGTATTTTGCACGATCGCCTGTATTTTTGTGCGTTTTTCCGCATTTCTCCATACAAAACCCTTTTCCAAAGCTCTTTATTAAATGAACTAAATATAAACAGCACACAGCCGTACACAGTCGTACACGTACAGTACACACACGCGTCAATAGTACAAAACACACACACGTTTCCGTAAGGGGGTCTGGGCGTACAACGTCAAGTTCATGGTGGGTGGGGTAGTAGTACCAGCTGGTTGATTGGGACAATCATGAAATATGTACTTTTTGAACAATCACAAGGGCGGACACGTCTCGGGTGCTATACATCGAAAAATAAAGGATAAAAAATATTTTTAAACATTTTAAGGGTACTTTTAAACAATTGGGGGACTAGAAAAGGGCCAAAAATCTATGGAAAAATGCCTAGGAAGCTCTAGAAAATTTAGAACCTTATTAAAAGTAAAATTTAATGATATGGGTATCGAAATTAGGGGGTGAGCGTTTTAAGGGGAATGGAAATGTAGAAAACCGGATTTGGCAACAAAAAAACCCAATTTCAGCGAAAAAATGCAAATTTCCGGCCAAAAATCAGAATTTTTCAGCGCCAAGCCACAGTAAACTACAAAAAATATTACTAGAGAATTTCTAGGCAGAATTAGCGAAAAACACCCCTTGTTAATAGAGTATTTATATAAAAATAAACATATACCCAAAAAGAAAAGACAACAACGACGAAATAAAAGTTATCCACACGGGGGAAACGCGTACAATAAAATCTCACAAAGCAGCCGGTGTGGTTACACAATTATTAAGTACACACAAACATGGGTACAGGGGGAATTAACGGCGCTTGAGGCTGACCATCTTGAGCGTCTTGAGCATGAGGGCACCCTTCTTCTTCGGCTCGACCTTCTTGCCGCGGTGGGCGCCGAGGTTCGAGTTGATGTTGACGACGGCCGACGGCATCGAGCGCAGCGCCGAGCTGTCGCCTGGAAAACGGGAGAATTGATTACGCTAGCAAATTCAAAAGTCTTGTTCAATGCCAGCCTCCAATTCATAGCGAAAATTGAGAGAAAAGACACTGTTTTGACTCCAGGTAAACCCAGGTCCAAATTTACTAAATTTTTCATCGAGAGCAAAACAAATTGCGAAAACTGAAATTTTGTAAAAATGATGGGCTATGTAAAGCACTGTTCGGAACTTCTTCAAGGTATCGTGAGGTACTACAAAGAGTAAAACACAATCGCAAGGATCAGTTACGCTAGGCAATGCTTGGCCTAAACGACTTCAAGATGCCGACGTAGAAAGCAACGACAAAATCAGAAAAACGTAATTTCTCAACTAACTGATTACGATAGAAAAACCTAGTTTCTGAACAGCTTCACGGCGTAGCAAAGGAATAACGAAACTCTAGCTAAACAAAAAAAAGAAAACTGGAATTCAGGCAATAATACCGAATTATCCAAACCGATTAGCCTAGATAAAGTGAAGTCCTGAACTGCTTCAAAAGGTCGTCGAAGAACCAAGAAGTTCAAGCTTCTGGACGTTATTAAACGGGATCTAATTACGCCCGGAAAAGCCAAGAGCCTAACCAAAAACTAAAAGACGCACCAGTCTCGTGCAGTTGCCGGCGGGCCTTCATCAGCTGGACGGCGTCGGGGACCGGCTTGGCGGTGAAGGGCATGTTGTTGGTGCGCTGGCGCTTGCGGATGTTGGCCGGGGCATGGACGTCGGCGAGCATCGTTTGGCGCCCGTGGCAGGCTGCGGCCGCCGCGCTGGCGCCGATCTTCTGCTTCAGCATCGCCAGTTTCTAAAGAAAACAATAAAATAAATAGATTCTAAAGTTCTTACGACAAAAACGGCGGAAACCTTTAAAAAAACGAGATTAAAAACTGCTGCTCACCTTCTCCGACGACTGCGTCTTCTCGCGCTCGATGCGGAAGTAGGCGTGCTTCCAGGTCTCGTAGTCTTCGGGCTCCTCGTTCGGGAAGCGGCGCTTCATGTGCTTCTCCCAGAGGCAGTCACCGTCCTCCTCAAGGCTCTAAAAAAGGAGATATTCCGTTTCAAAACAATGTTCATCTACAAAAAGTAGCCAAACGCTTACCGGGTTCCGCGACTCGATGTAGTGCAACTGCGTCGGGGTGCAGCGCTCTAGGACCGGCTGCAAGATGTCGAACGGGATGTCACCAGTGTCTTCGAGGTCTAAAAACGCAAGAATGAAATGTTTATGACGTCAGCAAGCGGTACAAGCGTCAAAAACGTAGCTCAAGAATTTTCATAGTGATTTTGATTATCTTTAACACTATTTCAAGTCAAAAAAGCGCCGGAAAATTTTGAAAAATTTAAATTTTTGAAGATCAGCGATTTCTAAATTTCCATATTTTTAACAAAAAAACCAACGTAATTTTTACGCTTAGAATAAGAGAAAACAATCTGTAAAAAATCTCTATTTAGATAGAAAAACCCACTATCAATATTGTTGCCAATGAAGTTCAGGCACAGCTTGAAGAGGGGCTCTACCTTGGTGGTGACCGTCTTGCGCGTGCCGGCAAAGACACGGTGGCGATCCGTGGACTTGTATTTGAGCACGCCGTGCTTCAGCTGCTCCTCCTCGGCGGACAACACTAAAAAAATAAAATAAAAGTCCAGGCCCAAGAAATCAAAACCTTGCACGGCCTTCTTCGGCTTGATGGCGGGCAGCGGCTTGTAGAGGATATCGAGCTCGGGGAGGGGGCGTGGCTTGTGCTGCTTGGCCTTGATGTCGGGGCGATCGGCGGCGGCGAGCACCTGCTCGAAGGCGTTGGAAAGGGTGACCGTGGCGCGAACGGGTTCTTCCCTGAAAAAAAAAGTTAGTTTAATCGATTACGAGATAAAAAATCTTTAAAATCGTTTAGTAAAAACACACTTTTTCGGCTTCTTCTCCTGGCTGAAACTCGGGCCCGGCTTCTCCTCAAGCGGCTCGACCTTCGCCTTCTTCGTCGGCGGCGGAGTTTCGGGGCTAAAAATATCAAATTGTCGCTCAAAAAACTATAAAATACCTCGAGCTTCCGCTGCTGCTGGTGTTCCGGGCCTCCTCCTCGTACCCCTCCTTCCGGGCGACGTTCTTCCACCGCTTCACAATCTTCGAAGCCAACGGGCCGACCTGGTCGTCGTTCTGCAGCTTGTTGACGGCCTTGCCGACCTAAAAAGGTATAATTAAAACTGAAAACGTGTATTTTAGCGCGCTGCTTTCTAATTGCACACTTTCAGTCCAGAAAACTGACTTTAGACCAGAAAAACTTCATCTAAAAAGCCTGGAACCGTTTTACAACGTTTTGCGACTTTGTAAGCTATGCAGCCTTGATTATCAGTTAGTTTTGTCGTTTAAAGTTACGTTTTTATAGTCTAAACGCAGCAAATTTGAAAATAGCGAACAAACTTAATTCAAAAGTCATATTTTTCCGTTTCTTGCTGGGGCGAACCATTGTTTTTTCGCTCTCGCAAGTTTCTCCGACTTTTCACTCTTTCCGGTACTTTTTAAGGCATTCAAAATGTATACCTTAGTCTCGACAAGCAGCGTGATGTCCATGTCGACCTTGGCCAACTTCTCGAGGGCGCGGCGGCGCTAGAAAACGCTGGGTTCCGGCTAGATAAACCGGAAGCCATACCGTGTCCTCGTTCTTCAGGTGCTTCATGTACTTGACAATCTTGGCGAACTTGGTGTCGTAGTCCATGGTCGCGGATTGTGGCTCAATCCTGGAAATGGGAGGATGTGTGAGGGGTTCGCGTAATTGAATATTGAAGAAATGTATTCAAAATCGTGAAAATTGAAAGGAAAATTAAAAAACCGGAAATGGATGCAATTTTCGGGAGAAACGAATACGCGACGCTCCGCTACGCGTGAAACCGCGACGCGTTCGACCTCTGCTTTTAAAAAGCTTTAGGATCTTCAACAAAACAACGTAAAATGGAAAAAGGTTTTGAAATAGCCAGAAATCCTCTCAGACTAGGTCTCGAAGCGATCACAGATAAAAAGCGAAAACAAAACTTTAAAGTTAAAGCTTTACAACGTCCAAACCTTTAGAAATATTACAAAACTTAGAATAAAGAAGAGTTTCTAGATGAAATCATTCTAAAGACGCATGAAGCTTAGAAATCTAGAAAATGTGCACAAGAATGCGTTATACGAAAATATAATGCGGTACAACGTCAGATGTCAGAGAAATTTAAGGTTTTCGCAGTTTTAAACTTTTCCAAAGACCAGGAAATCGTTAAATATAGCCTATTTGATACGAATAAATATTTTAAAGCCTCTAGAAAGCTATGAAATTCCGGAAAACCTAGGTAATCGCCGAACAATGCACGGGATTACAACAGATGGTAAAAATTAGAGGTTTTTCGAGGGTTTTTACTTGAAAGAGCTGGCCAAAACAATTGGATCTAATAAAAATTTTAGTTTTATCTTAGAAAACTGCGTATACCCGTAAAACCACCGAAACGACCAATCAATGCAAGCGGAGTACGCGGGGAAAATTGGTCGGGGGTGACTGGCCAGAGCCGTCAGCAGTCTGTTTGGCCGATAGATGGAAACGGGGCGACGGGGGAAGGAAGCAAGCAAACAAAGCAAGAAAATGGGCACAGTTCAACGCAGTCGCCCAACGGCACAAACAAGTTGTGCTACGCCTGGCGGGCAGACTAGCCATTTTTTAGGGCGCCAGGTGGTGTGGTGGACTGCGAATGATACGCGTTCCCGGATCGTCTGAGGTAATTTTTTGCTACATGTTGCTTGAATTTCGCAGCATTAATGGCTAATTGATGCGCAAGTCATTTCTTATCTATCTATCTTACTAGATTTTGAAGGTGGTTTCTATGTTTTTTTTTAGCATTTCTCATGAAAATTAAAGCATTGATATAACAAGCATCTTGAAAAGTTAAAGGTTATATTTTTCGTATTCAATAATATTAAAAAATTCACGCTATAACTAGGTAATGGATCTATAATAATTATTAAGCTCTAAAAAAGCTTAGAAAACCGCATAAAAATAGCGAGCTCTTCGCATTTTTCAGATCATAGAGAGAAAATCGCCATTTCTGGATCCACTAGATAAAATTTCTTTAACGAGCAGAAACATGCAAAAATATCTTAGCAAATCTCCAAAAAAATCGAAAAGATAGGAAAACATCTTAAAAGATAAAACCCCCGTAAGAGAGTGGCGAATACCCATAGGATAAGGGCAGATGGAAAAAGAAATATATGCAATCTAACATCAAAATAATGATAGAAATGACCCTAAGGCAAATCAATTACCAGTCCCTGGGGGGCAAGATGTGCTCAAATGACCTCTGGGGTATTGTCCAGACGGCACGCCCCGGTACCAATTACGAAACTCAGGGGGGTACCATTTGCGCCAAACCGAGATAGGTGTACTACAAAATCCCTTCCTATATATTTCTCTGTCCAAAAAAATTCGCTAGCTGGATGCACAAGGAGCTAGAAAATCCATTAAAAATATTGTCGCAGCAAATCCAATGCTTTTCAAGCAGTCTAAACGTTCCACGAAACGCAAGGAGGGCTCAAGTTTCAAGAAAAAAAGAGAGGGGAAGCTAGATTGCAGCCCTCAAAAATTTGGCTTTTGGAAACTGGATCGATAATACCATCACAATCTCAAGGCGGTAGATCCCGTTCGGTGAGCAATAAATATCGAGACGTAACTGGCGCGCGTGACCTTGATGTCGGGGGTGGGATTGAGTGTCGGCAACTGGCTACTTACAGGTTTAGGGCGACAGAGAGAGAAAGAGAAAGAGAGAGAGAGAGAGAGAGAGCGAGAGAGAGAAAGAGTGATCGAGCTAATTCGAACGGTTCTGTGATGTTAGCGGGGGCTAACTTTGGTCGATCATCGTATCATATCCTAGTTTAATGACATAAACATCATTTATTTGGCTTTTTACAACGTTTTTAAGTGTAAAAACTGTTTGAAAAACGTTACAACTTTTAAAAACACTCTTTTTGCTCAAAAACGCAGGTAAATCGTACAAATGCTACTTTTAAAATTTTATAAGAATTTTTTGTTCACGTTACATGAAAGATTTTTAAAAGGCACAATGAAAGAGTTAAAAATTTCGCTAGTTAGTTATACACGAGATGGCTTCTCCGTTCACATCACCCCCCCCCCCCGGTAATAGAGGAGCTCTTTCAGAACCGCAGTCAACAGGTAGCCTTACCAAAGACACCATTAACAATATTGCCAATCCCTCAGAGTCATATTTTCCTTTAAAGCCCCTTTAAAACCCTCAGAAAGGTGTGAATCCCCCCTCCCCCCTCAAAATCCAGTGCAAATCCCCACAAGCCACGCCAGCGTGGAAAGCCACCCGATTTGAGAGCGACATAAAACGAAAAGCCATCGCCAGCCATGCAGACACCTTTCATTTCCCACCACCATCCATCCATTCCCCTACAAATATCGATGACAAAGACTAGCGGCAGGTGCGGGCGCAAACATTTGCCGAATACGGTCTCAAAACGGTTTATCGATTTTGGTATAGCTATATAACCGTATTGTTCGATGGGATTGGAGTTTTTCTAGTATTTTTTGGAAAAAAATTAGAAATAGTCGTAGTTAAAGAGATGAGGGCGGCATCTGTTGAACCCCCCTTGGGGAGGGGGGGTTCAACAGGTCCCGCGGCGACTCGCGCGAGAGGGCTCCCAGAGGAGAGGCGCAGAGACATTTTCTTTCCCTCGCGTAATCGATTGACTTATGCCGCCCCTATCTATTTAAGACGTAAGAGGCCACGGACTACAAGAAGGGAAATTAAACGTTTTTGTTAAGGCTGCAGACGCCAGCCCCAGCCGACGTTTGCCTACTGCTCTAAATACAATCTCAAATCTAAATACTTGCGTAAGACATAAATTTCATTGGCAAGGAAATGCGAAAAATTGCAATTTTGCGGGAATCGATAACAGCAGGGAGCCGGAGCGTGGGGCAAGAGTAATGGAGGGGCTTCGCTGAACTTTACGTGGTTTGTGCAGCTGGCCGCCCACTCGATTCCTCCGGCAAAAACATCACGCAACGTTTTTTTTGGCTAATCCTAGGCAGGGTGAATGGATGCTCAGATGCTCTATTTTAAGCGAGAAAAAAAAACTTTAAAAAATCCAGGGCTTTCAGGTATCGAAAAATTAAGTTACATTGAAATGCCGTCACAAAAATCACAAAAAACAATCACTTGGCATTTGACCACTGTTTTTATGGTTTTTACGAAGTATTCTAAGGTGTTTTTAAAGTACTTAATTTATTTTAATTATGTTATTTTAATTTTATTTCAATTGCCCAAACAGTTGCCAGAAATAAAAAAAACCCAGGTACTGGCTAAAAATAACGACCGTCTCGATTTAATGTTTTTTTGCCAGGAATTTTAGTGGTTTTAAAAATTTTCCTGGTTTACACCCTAAAAAGTGCTAAGTCCTCAAAACCCCGAAAAAAGGAAAACGCGTACGTTTTTGTGGTTTATACGAAGATTTGGAAGCATTTTGGAGCTCCTAACTCTTAAAAACACAGCGTCAAAACTGGCCAACCCGCTCAAAAATCGGCCGGAAATCGATAAAACCACAAGAACCCATTAAAACTGATGACAGGCAAACCATCACGTCGGTTTCAGAAATTTTCGGCGCAAGATAAGGGGTCGGATGGCATCGCCACCCAATTCCCCGAATGCATTACGTCACGAAATGTCAGGGGGAGGCGAGGGGCCGGGACAATCGATGCGTGGGACCAGACAGCATGCACATAACAAGGCGAAGAGACTAAAATTTCTAGCTAAAAGCTTTTAAAGATCTTTCTCATAGCCTTAAAAATTAAAAAAAAAGTTCTAGGCGATTTGATAAATTTTCCCAGATTTTTTTAAGCTCCAAAAATTCGTAATTCTGTTCTGAAGACGTAGCTGCACTGGGTGAGCGCCTCTTCTTTTCTAAGGGCTTTTAAAAGCATATCAAAATAAAAATAAAGCGTATAGAGGGAAAATCAATAAATCGTGAAAGGACAAAAAGCCTGGGCAGACTGGCGGCGACGCTCTTGCTGGAGAAAAGAGACCTGTCTGTTGGACTGGCCGGTTCCGCTTGCTCGGCGAGTGAGAGATAGATAGAGAGAGAGAGAGCGAGAGAGAGTGAGCGAAAGAGAGAAAGAGAGATAGAGAGAGAGCTCCTTAAAGGAAAACATGTCTATGTGCTTAATCTATCTGGATGTGCACAAGATTTATCTGAACCCCCCGGCAGTCAAGGTATACTAGAAAAACAGAACATAACTAGTCGAAAATTCCTTGTTGAAATGCTGTTGCGTTGTAACATGTTTTGCGTATCCGCCAGCTTGAGCTGCCGTCACTCCGAGACGATCCTCGTCGTCCTTCTCCCAGACTTTCTGAAAAGCGTCAGAGGTTATTACGGTACCTGTCAAAATTCAGACTGGCTAGGCATAGAAACTACCAAAACAGAAACAAAGCGGGAATGTCTCACGATTTCAACCGAGCGAAATGAAGATAATGCATACCACAAGATAGGCGGGCATCACCTTATCGACCACATCGAGTTCGAGGTCTTCACGCTTCGGTGCCCTCCTAGAAAAATGGAGGGCTCTGTTAGCGGGGGGCTTTAGCGGGGGACCACTTTCTGTTTTCCGCCTATACCTGTTGATGACCTCTAATGTATTTTCATAGTGTTTTTTTGTAGTTTTCGAGTGCCAGAAAGTTAAAAAATTTTGAAATTTTTGAAATTTCGGAAATTTTGACTTTTTGCTCGTTCTTCATACATTTTTGACCAAAAACTCAAAAAATTTTTAACATTTTTATTATTTTTATGCTGGTTTTATATCCAAAATCTAGGTAAAATGCTATAAGAACGGTTTGGATTTTTTATAGGGCCGTAGAGAATCAGGGAAAAATTTGGCTTCGATCCCGCTAACAGTCCAGAACCGGATGGAGTAAGAACTATATTTGCTATCAAAATGTCGAGAATCACAATGGCGAAATTCATAATGTCAAAATTCAAAAAGTCGAAATGTCATAATGCCGAAATTCATAATGCCAATTTTTTTCGCATGGGATTAAGGGTTTCAATCCAAAATTTCGACATTTTGAAGAAAACCCGCGAGAGACATTTAACGATACCCCGGAGCAGGGGCGTAGCCAGAAAAAAATTTCGGGGGGCCCGAAAAATTTTTCCAAAAAACTCAAAAGATTGCCGAAAAAACAGCGCCGCAGGCAAAAATTTTTGAAAAATAGGTTGCATAGCTCTACAAATAGCCGTAAAAGCGTGAAAAAATAGCGCCGCAGGCAGCAAAATTTTTGAGAAAATAAAAATCATAAGGGTCCCCCCTTATGAAATTTTCGGGCCCCGGCCGATTTCGGGGGGGGCCGGGCCCCCGGGGCCTGTATTACGCTACGTCCCTGCCCCGGAGTCAGGTCATCGATCTGCTGACAAATTATCTTGAAACACCTGGGCATTCCATCACCTAATATTTCGCCATTCTGAAGATTTGCGCCCTCCCATTTTCCGCTATAATTCTCCTTACCCGCCGCCGACTTTCTCCTTCAACAATGTTTTGATTTTTGAAGTGTACTCGGGAATACGCTCCTCAGCGTAGGTGACGTTGACCGCCGGGTAGTCCTCGCGCCTCAGCCACACCAACAGCACACTGACGTGACTTTCGAAATGCATCACGTAACAGAGTTCGGGCTGTAGGAGTATTTTCTGTAGATTTCAAGGTATCTTACCACCAAACATTTATAACCCCACGCCATACCGCTCGTCCCTTGACCCAAATCGACGTTGTATAGCACATGCGCGAAACGGCGCCAGCTGCAATTGGATTCATCTTTGACATTAAATGGGTTCAATACGCTATAAAGAGTACCTGCAATATTGCGCGAAACGGTCTTTGGTTCTTTTGCATTATCGCAGGGGGGAGGGTTATCGGGCCGGGAAACAAACTTTTTTGGATTACTTAGTAACTTAGTGACTTGATAGTAACTTTTTGTATGATTTTTCAGTAAAGAAAACCACATTTTAACTAGAAAATCTGGCTAAAAACGTAGCAAATTTTTCAAAAAGGGCCATATTGGTCGAAAACGGCCATTTTTGGTCGAAACATCGATATTTTTGAAACTTTAAATAGAAAATTGTTTTCGTAGACGTATTTCCGTTTATTATATTTAAGTCCCCAGTCCTCCATTTAGTCCCCCGTTTCCGGGGTTCCGCTTTTCGGTCCGTACCAAATTTCGGGCTCAAAGAAGTGCTTTATGAGTCCCTTTACCATGCCTGATTCCAAGAGCCCACCGATTTTCGGGGAGGGTATCGCCCTGATAAATCGCCTGCAGATGTGCTTGAACCATTTCATACTGTCGCGAGCTGATGTAGCGGTCCATCCCGAAGTCACGAATGGTCCCATTTTTCTTGCACCACTCCAAAAGGGTCCCGTAGAAAATATCCGTCTCAAATCGTACGTCATCCCACTGAAAAGTCCTTGAAAGGCGTATCGGAACAAGTTTTCGGCGCGAGCACTCATTTGCGTACATTTCTAATATTTTGCATTACTGTCGGAATTTCGCGGCCGCCATGGATAGAGCACCGAAAAATATACCAAGAGAATTTTTTCGAGCCCGAAAAAATGTAATATAAAAATTTTATGTCATGAAAAGTATGGTTGAAAGCTAGCCTGCCATCATGGAATTAGGATTGTAGTACCTCCTCCTTGGTTAACACGCCGGCTTCGACGGGATCGCGAGGTGCTGGAGGTCCCAACCGATCACGCACTGAAATCGACGTATTTCTAAAGCCCCTTGAAAAACCTTTGCCTGAGTTTAAAAAAAAAACCTTACCTGCCTGCTGCAGGTTTTCCCGAACTCCACTGTCGATATGCGGTTTGTTATCTGCAATGAATTTAAAGAACCGCTTCTCGCTTCAAAACGCTGGCTAGGTGTTTTTTGTTTCTTAGGATAATGCTGATACAATGCGAAAGAAATCCAATAGTGGAAACCAACTCGTCAAAGTGTCAACTGTAATACCGGCGCGCGCCACTTCTAAGGTCGTCACCAGTAGAACGATTAAAATTCCAGCAACAAAATACATGTTCGCTTCGACACACAACGAAATGCTCAGAGGCTCCTTGCATTTTACATGTGATTTATATTTTCCGAAGCCATAAAATGCGCGGATATGGCGGCCGAAATAGCTTTAGACATATATAGATTTTCTGGAAAGGAACGTCGCATAATTCAAGATTCGTTCCCGTATTATGGTTCCATGATGGTTCCAAGACCCATTGGCGGTGGACAGGGACGTAGCGTAATACAGGCCCCGGGGGCCCGGCCCCCCGAAATCGGCCGGGGCCCGAAAATTTCATAAGGGGGGACCCCTATGATTTTTATTTTCTCAAAAATTTTGCTGCCTGCGGCGCTATTTTTTGCACGTTTTTACGGCTATTTTTAGAGCTATGCAACCTTTTTCCAAAAATTTTTGCCTGCGGCGCTGTTTTTTCAGCAATGTTTTGAGTTTTTTGGCAAAATTTTTTGGGCCCCCCGAAATTTTTTTCTGGCTACGCCCCTGGCGGTGGATATTCTAAGAAAGAAATTCTTAAAGAAATCGAGGTTCGCGAATAACAATTTAGCAAGGGAAAAACATGAGCAAAAAGAATAGCATGGCAAGGAAGCCCAGCGAGGGCCCGGAGAGCCACTTGTGGCGCTCAATGTAACCGTTTTGTGATGACCCTGGAATTTCGCGACGTCGGGCGACACATCGTGTGCAGAATTTTTTGCTGATTCCGAATCCGTTTTCAACAGTTGCGGAAGCCCTCTGCTTAAAAAGTTGCAGCTGTTTTTCACACCTAAATGACCGAAAATGTCGGTCTTGAAACCCTTCTTCAACCCATGAAGTACTTGGGGGGTGTGTAGAGTACACCATTTCAATAAGAAGAAAAACGTGCTCTTTCGAAAGAGCTATCTCACCAAGGCGCAGCTCAAAATTCATGGAAAAAAATTTTCGGTGGGCACATGCCCTAGACTTTTTCGAACTTCTTGAAAGACGGGCTGGGTTCGTGAGATTGTTCATCTTAAAGAGCACGTTTTCCACCCCTAGAAATGATGCCATGTCCTCCAGTTTCTGTTTTGACGGGAAATGCGTTCAATTGCAACATTCTGACGTGTTTCTGGAATCCTCAGAATATTTTGATCATTTTAGTAGTTTTGACGATTAAAATTAGCCAGAGAATCACGGAAATTGAGATATTCGGTACCATAAAAGGCATTGCACCATGTAATCGCCTAGCACTCAAAAGCCGTTTTCGCTCGGACAACATTTCAGTTTTACTCGAGTATCTTACGTTTCTGACGCAACAAAATAAATTTTCTAGCGCTTCTCGGCAGTAATAATAATAGTATTAAATAAATGAACCGCCCACAATGTTTAAAATTAAGCTAAACCGGTTTCAAAGGCACAATGCAAATCCATTTTGACCGGGAAAAGAAAAAACCGCTGCTAGTCGCTAGCTAAAACTGGGCTGTTGACTGTTCAGCGATGTTATTTCAGACATAATTTATTGGGCATTAACTAAAAGAAGAATATGTAATGCACGACGTAGCGTGCATCGTAAATATGTTCCGCCCGGACGGCTCGTGCGTATCCACCGTGTTGGATAGCAGTATGGTCTTCGGTGGTGTCCGCCGATTTTAGCCAAATTTTCTGAAATGGGGCTAAAGAAGGTGGGTCTCCCTTATTTATGAGGAAAACTAATGTTGATCGTAATTGCCGGCGTGTTGACGAAAAAACGTGTAAAACTTTTACAACGAAACGAAACGAAAAAACGAAACTACGTGTTGGCAAAAAAAACCCGCTCGCTGAAATGTTTTTACGAAATATCGGCGCGAACGTTGAGCTGCAATAAGCGCCAATCGGCAACATGCTTCGGCAGAGTTTGCGTTGGAACCGTTTTATTGCTTTTTTGCGTGTACCTACCACGTAATACCCAGGCATAGTGTTATCATAGATGGGGAGCATGCTCGCGTCTCGCCATGATGGCTTCCGCCTGAAATGCAGCGCTACATCTTACTAGGAGATTTCGAATATGCCCCGGCTCAGGATACTGATTTGGACACAAATAGGATCGATCATGTTGAACATTACGTACTTTTCTGAATTTGTCCAAGATCTTTGAAACTACTTTAACACTTTTAAAGTGATCTTTTAGTTAAGGTTGTAGTCAGAAAATTTTCTTTTTTAGACGCGCTCCCCAACTCAAAATTTTTGACAGGGATACATTGACGATATTTGGCGTGCAATTTTAGTTTGGGGTGGGAAATGGTAAAAAACCCGCTTCAAACAGCTCTCAAACGCCGTTTCGACAAAGCCTGCTTTTATGAAATACATTTGAGTCGGAAAAGATCTCTCAAATACACAACTGAAAATAAATTAGAACTTTTAAACCAAAAAAAAGAACGTGATCATGGCAAATCACTGCCAGGGGCGAAAAATTTACACTAAAACATGCATTTCTCGAGTTTGAAACACCGGTAGCAAATTAGCAATCTCTTTTGCTAAAAAGAGTTTCTTTAAAAAAAGGGTTTTTGGGTTCGAAAAAAGAGTGAGATTCTCTGCTGCAGCAAAAAGCGTCAAATTCCCTAACCTCCCAAACCTGAGAAAATTCGAAGGATCAACCAAAAATTGCTGGGTTATTAAAGCGCAGTTTCAAACACCATTCACTTCAAAATTTGAGCATTGTGCCATTTCTAGATGTCCTTCGTCACCAAGCCATATCACGAAGTAGCCACGTGGTTTACCAGCTCAACGTTCGAAATGGTTGAAGCTAGAGTGCAGTGTAGTGCAGTCCGCAATGCTTGCAAATAGCATAATTATGACAATTATATTAGCTAGTATTTTTATTAGGAATAGAGCAGGAGCATTTCAATATGCCGAAAATAAAAAAAATTGAATTCCAAAAATTTAGGGAGGTTTTCCTAGGTGCCAGCAATTTTTGGTTGATCCTTCGAATTTTCTCAGGTTTGGGACGTTAGGGAATTTGACGCTTTTTGCTGCAGCAGAGAATCTCACTCTTTTTTCGAACCCAAAAACCCTTTTTTTTAAAGAATCTCTTTTTAGCAAAAGAGAATTTTGCCCTTTTTGACTGAACTCACAAGGGAAGGGCGAATGCGCGATCTCGAAATTCGAAAAACGCTCGCGGCTACCCCCAGGTTATCGACTACGGGGAACACGATGGTGTTGGCAGAATTTTCCACCGAGCCCTGTGGAGCGAGATACGGTACTTCCGAAAAAAGGATCATTTGCATGCGAGGAATTAGAATGATCCCTGAGGTTTATTAGGAGCTTCCAAGTATCCATCACTGTCGGTGAGTTAGTCGAGTGCTAACGGTCTCGCTTTTTGAAATACCAACGAGGGTTCGCTTCCACTCGTAATTTTTTTTTGCTTATTGGAGCGCTATTTTTGCCTGGCATTGACAGTAATTTCCCAACGCTTCAAATAATTTTTTTTGCAAGCTCCGAGCTCCAAAGCAAACAAAAACCAAACATGCACACCGACCGACGACGAAAAACAAAAAAAAGCTGGCGACCGGTTGTGTTGTTGCAAATTGCCCCCAAGAAAGCAAAAACAAAAATTTACGGGTGAAGCCGAACTCTTGTTGATATTTCAAAAAAGCGAGACTGTTAGCACTCGACTAACTCACCGACAGTGATGGATACTTGGAAGCTCGACCCCGGGAACGGGGATATTTTTTGATTTATTATTCCCGCGTAAGGCAGATGCTGTTATCATTATCAGCCTGATCTCTAACGAGCCCGACTCTGGCCGCACTAATGACCGACATCCAGCCGCACTCCACCTCGACTAATCCTACTATATATAAAAAAATAGTGTCTGTGTGTGTGTGTGCATTTGCATGCAACTTCCGTCCCTATGTTCCAGTCGTATCTCGATAGGGGAAGAAGGGATGGGTACGTTTGGTATGTCATTAGGTGCGTAATGGACCTGCGATGCCTGCACACATATCAGATGTTAGAAAATAAGCTGTTTTCGACATTAAAATTCAGTTTTTCATGAAAAATCGGAGATCCTCTTTGTTAGAAATCAATTAGCATACACCGGAAGTGGAAGTAGCCTATATAATGCGAGAGAGGGGGCTGTTTTAATTTTTTTGACAAGGGAATTCGTTAGAATTATGCAAAGGGCAGGATATCATCGGATCAGACGGGGCCAGGGTTGAAAAGTCGCGAAGCGGCTTTTCAACCCTGGTCTTTATGAAAAAGACTAAAAGACTCTGACAGCTATCTAGAATCGAACAAGCAATGCAAATACACTTGCTACTTAATACTTATCGCCTACGTATGACAGATCGGAAATCTTCAAAATTGCGCTAATGCATCCTTTTTCTAGGCTGCATCTCTTTCCACTCGGGGAGTAGTAGTTGATTCGAAACATTGACATAGGAAATGATGGATGATTGACTCCGCCCGCTAACGCCAACCTCAACCCAAAAAGGGTTAGCGGGCTCCGCCCGCTAACCCCAAATTCGGAAAACTAGGTGATGATCATCGTGGTCGTATCTGTATGAAAATTTCTAGCTAATTCGGCGTCCCGGTTTATTCGGACTAGTTTGGATTTCGACCTGATTAGGTTGGAAGGAAAGTCATGGTATAAAATCCTAGATTTACTTTAAAAGCGCGCCGACAAGTTCAATTTAGGCGATTTCTAGATGTTTTGGTAGCTTCGGTGCTCAACCTGGTAACGACCCAAGCCCAAAATTTGATGATCCCAACATCTATCGATATCTACTCATCGAAAGCTAACGATCGCCGTTAACGGTGTTGTATGCAAATTACTGTAATTACTGTATGCAGAGATAACGTGTTTAGAAGCATTCACTATAATTCTGCGAAACTTCCCGGAAAAATTTTCTGGCTTCCCGGAAACTTGGAAAAAAATTTTGGGGTGGGGCCATATTCGAGGAAATACGGTAGGTATAGAGAAAAAATCAATGCGTTTTGAAATCCCAACCCCGGTTTTCATAAATCTTACGACCCAGTCCTATAGAAAAGTTCTGCGTCTCCCATCTTCTTGTATAGCGGAACACGTTCCTCGGCTAACGTCACATTGGGCGTGGGGAACTTGTCGCGTTGGAAAAAGACGAAGAGGACGCACAGATCGCTCACTCTCATCTCCTGGCAGAATGCCGGCTTAACTAACGATTTTTGCGAATTGCCAATCTCAAACCAACCTCCAAGCATTTCCAGCCCCAAACCATACCACTATTTTTGTTGTTATCTTCGCAGTATATTATTTGCGCATATCGTCGATACCTGAGATTGCGGGGTTATTTTGAAAGCGTGTTGCTCGACCGGATCCGGAGAGTTTTCAATCTACAGAGCCATCCCAAAAACCAAAGGCACCTTCCGAACCGGAAGTCAAAGGTCGGATTTTCGATATCATGTGAAAGCGTTTCAAGGCGACCTTTTAAAGTCTCGGCGGGCGCGCCGCTATCTTGTGCGGAAATTGTTGCTGCTTCCCAAAATGTTTTCAAAAAATCGACGGCCTCTAGCGGTCCATAGAAATATCGGATCGGGACGATTTTTGTACGATTCAAAAGCCCTCGGAACGGCGAGAAAAAAGCCATTTTTGTTTTGCAAAATTTTTCAGCCCGCGCACGATAGTAAACGATTTCTGAAAAAAGCGTAAGATCAATGCCGTCCGGTTAGATTGAGGCAGCAATTTGACAAGCGGATTTAGCACAAAATCGGCAGCTTTCTTGGATTTTGGTGCTAAAATGCGTTAATCTGAAAAATCGAAAAGTGATTAACTTCGCTCAAATGCTTTGTAACTTTTGAATCCGAACTACCTTGCCGTTTTTAAAACAAGGCTAGCGATCAGCAAAAAATCTACACAGAATAGGCCGGTGCCATTTTGAAATTTCGCTTTAGGTTTAGAAGGCTCCCTTGTTAGGGCGGCGATTTTGCTTGCTTCCTCGCCACTACCCCCGCCAAATTTTGGATATTTTTCTGATTTGATCTGCAAAACGGTAGAACGTCAGAAAGTCTACTAAGGATTTTCAGGACGAAAAATGTTATACAAAAGTTTTATAGCATAAAAAGTTTGGTTTCAAAACCATGGGCAGCAAACAGGATAACGTACTTTCTGACGTTCATACGTAACGTATGAACTTTTACTTTACGTACTATGGGGGGAACGTAATTTCGGAATTTGGGTATTTTCATCAATTTGAAAATGCCGTTCGATAGAGGTTACGTGTGCGAAAGACTAACTCAAGGCTTGACGCGTCGATCCAACTCTGGACGGATTCTTGCAGTTGCCCGGCTTGGCCCGGTTTTACATAGCCGTCACTTCCATTTGCTTTGCGAAAGCTCTCGAGCGCGTTCTCGTATCGGAACAGGTCGCTTTGCACAGCCGCCCACTAAAAAATGGATCAGACTTTTGACACCTCCAGCCAGCACTTCCTAAAATGTTTTCGCTATAGCTTTTTTATAATAAATTGATTTGCGTAGGACTATAAATAAATTTTAATAAGTAATACAACAGGAGACTTATAGGTCTCCTGTTGTATTTTTTGGAAATCGTGCTCACCTCCTCTTTGGTTATCCTTCCTAGGTCTACTGCACCGGGCTCGTAATGAAATTGTAGTTTTGCACTGACCACTAAAAATTTTGTATATGGGTCCCAAAAATCGATTCTTTCGGCATTTTCTACGAATTTTCGGACAAAAATTCATGAAAACAGCAGGTTTTATGCAATGTTAGTTGCTCAAGCTTGCAGGACGACGCTAGTTTTACGCTTTTCTAAGAAACCAGCCGCTGCAAACGGCTGGATTTCGCGCTACCCCCTCCGTTCCCGCTCCCTTTAGATTTACTACTTTATACGCTTTAGATACTTTAAAGGATTTAAATAATGAATTAAAATAATTAAAAAGTATTAAAAAACTCAAAAACCGGGAAGGGCGCGGGAAGGGGCCTGGTAAAGAAGAACTGGGGAAGGGGGGCCTGGCCTGCCGGGAGAGGGGCCCCCACTCGTTTTATTAAGGCGCCACTTTCAAAGTTAATTTTTTATCTTTATTTATTTTTATTTTATATTTTTATCAGTGAAGGGGTTTCTGACCACGCTCTATCCGAATCCGAAGAGACCTAAGCTCTAGCCCCTTTCCCCTTCGAGTTATAGTTGGCTTCTGACAGACAGACAGACGGACGGACAGAGACCACTACTGAATTCTTATAGTTGATGATCGTTTGCTGTCGAGCGCGGGCTAAAAAAGTTTGTAAAATAAAGAGCGCTTTCTTCGCGTCGTTTCGAGAGCTTTTGAACGGTGCAAAATTCGTCCTGAGCCGACCTTTCTCCGGACCGCAAAAGCGGTCCATTTTCTTGGGATTCCCAAAAAAAGACCATCATGTTTAGGGGACCAAAAATAAAACAAACTGGACCTGGACCGCCAGGACCAAGCGATGGCGCGATTTGCAGAAACAGCAGTGCATAGGCAATTTTTGAAGGTACCATTGCCACCTTCGCCCAATGAAATACGGATTCACGGCGGTGTACGACATTTTCAAGTCACAACCGATTTACATTTACCCAAATAAATAACAAATATATTGCGGGGCCGCGCCGTACAATTTTCACATATAAATCCAATGATAATTTTCGGCTTTGCATTTACCCAAATAAAAACGTTTCAAGCCACACAAGGTTCCCAGGTATAAATTTATCAAAGTGCGGCCGCACACCGTAGCACCGTTATTTATGGCAGCTGGATGGATCTTCAGCTGCAGCGTAGCATGGCGGGTCGTCCGCGGAAACAGCGCCTGACAGTGTATAGCTTTAACTAAATACCGCAAGATCGCGCCCCACGCGCTCCATTGCGCCGGAAAAATGTAATAATTGTGCAGTCTGGTCTATCAATCGGTCCATTATTTCTTTAATTTTCGTCCAATTCTAGTCATTTCTTAATTTAGTTCTGAAAATCAACCTGTATCGTTTCGCAAAAATGAAAAACGGCAGTTGGCGCAGTTTTCAAAGCGCTTTCGAATGGGCTAGGTATCGTACCATATAAGCAGGCCCGTCCGGGGGAGGCCACCGGCCCCACCCCCCGATATCGGGCGGGGTCCGAAAAGTTCATAAGGGGGACCCTTATGATTTTTTATAAATTTTTTTTTCTGCCTGCGGCGCTGTTTATCAGGTTGGTAGATAAGTCCTGTCACAACTTTTTGAAAACGCCCTAGAAAGCCGTAGAAGCGTCGGATTTTCACTTTCGATACATGATTTGATAGATCTTGGGATGCGCTACTTGGGCAAAACCCGATTTGGTCCACAAAGTGGCTCGCCGTCGAATTACAGCTCCGGGAAGTTTTTGATAAAATCTTGTGAAAGCTATTTAGCGTGCTATCACTGCATAGAGCTATTTGAATACGATACCATTAACGCCAATCGATAGCTCTCGGGGAGTAGATATCGATAGATCTTGAGATCATCGCAATCGGACAGCGGATGGGCGAGATACGGGCCCTTCAAATTTGGTCCATTTATTAGAACTTTTTCCGAATTCCCATACATTTAGACAAAATCTTCACCGTGCGCTCAAAAACCACCTGGCAAGATTTGTCACAGATGCGTAAAATGTATGGGATTTCGGGAAAAGTTCTAAGAAATCAACCAAATTTCAAGGACCCGTATCGCGGCCATCCGGTGTCCAATTTTGACGATCTCAACATCTATCGATATCTACTCCTCGAGAGCTATCGATTGGTGTTGAAGGTATCGCATGCAAATTTCTCTATGCCGAGATAACACGCTAAAAAGCTTTTTCAAAATTTTGTGAAAAACTTCCCCGAGCTGTAACTCGGCGTCTTGTAACTTTTTGGCCTTGTGCGACAGCCCCCATTAAAGAGCAGACCAGCAGCAAGACCTATCAAATCAGGTATCAAACGTTAAAATCGGCCATGTCTGCGGCTATATAGAGAGATTTAAAAAATTTGTGACAGGACTTATCTACCAACCTGATATTATTGTTTTCGAAACGATTGATTTGAAATTTATTGCATTTTATTTGAAATGAAACATATTTTTCCAAAATTGGCCTGCGACGCCTTTTCTGTGAGGTTTTCATACCAATTTGAGCGCAACGAAAGCGTTTTTATGCACTTTTTTGTGTTATAGAAGCGATTTTCGAATGTTCTGAAAGTGGTGACCGGGGAGAGGTCGTCGCCAAAATTTTTGGGTGCCCCCGGCCCCCCGAAATCTCGGGTCAGTTACGGGCCTGGCCGCCAAACAGGCCAAAATCTGACAGCCACAATACCGAAAGCCAAAATCCCGACATACAATTTGGCTGTCGGGTTTTGACTGTCCGGCTGGAATTAGCTTTGTTAGCCTGCCAACTGTTTGATGCCAACTGTCTTCGGTTTAATCGCGGTACTAACTATGTAAAGCAAGCAAGTCGAACTCGCTCCACATAACATTCAATGGTGAATATCACTGTTATGGGCTAGTGCTGCTGTTCGCTCCATTGTGTTGCAGTCGACATTTAATAGCATAATTTATCTGCGGTTTAGCAATGTGCCGCTAGAAAAAGAAGCGATACTCCACTTCGTAATTTCGATCATATTGCTTATCATCCTTGCAGTACAGTGCATGCCCGGTCTCTTGCGCAGCAGAAAAACCAGCATCGCCGTGACGGTGTATATGCTGCAAGAACGTAAAACATCGTGTACGTTCGAGGGGATGGGGTCTGGCTTGTTGAAAATGCGAAAATAAGGATCGTCAAAAAATACTTGGTTTGAGACCGGTCTTAGAGGTTTAAGCTTGTGACTATGCGCTTGCGAAATATTTCGTCACCAGTGGAAAAAGACCGCTTCGCGGCCATTTTCCACTGGACCCCGTCCAGGAACCATGCATTTGAATACATCCTTTTTTAGCCTGCGGCGCTAGAGCCTGAGTCAAGGAGCCATTCTTTGGCCTGCGGCGCCAGAGCCAGCATTGTGCTAGAATCTTTGAGCCTGCGGCGCTAGCTATTGGTTTTTCTCCAGGATCTGGCCTGCGGCGCGAGAGCCCGAGCCAGGGGCCTTTTCTTTGGCCTGCGGCGCTAGGGCGAAGGCAGGCTTAAACCTCGCACACCGAGAGCCTAGAAATATGTTTTGTTACCTAACTACCAAAAAGCAAAAGTTAAATTCTCACAGGATCCGAACTCACGACGACGCGCGTGTAGACCGAGAGCTAATCCACTACGCGAAGGGGCACTTGGGAAGAGGCGGCGGGAAAGGCGGCGGCGGCGGCGGCGGGGGGGGCGGCAAAGATAAGGGTGACCAATGATCCCGGAGGGAGGCCTTGACCCGGAGGGAGCAATGATCCCACTTTACAAAATTCGATTATTTTAGTGTGAATCTGTGGAAAGTTTTTCAAGATAATAAGATGCGCATGATCCCCACCCTTGATTGCATAAACGGTCCAAATTTCAGCCCGAAATTCCATCAGGGCGTCGAGTTATGGCCTGGAAACCACGGCCCGTGACGCGATTTATTAGACCTTTCAGAAAAATCCTTATAAAAACTTTATTTTGAAGAATTTTGCAAAATCGGAAAAAAAGTATCTAAGGAATTACTTTTCCCATATACCCTCCAAAAATGAAGGTCCAATTCCCTCTAGGGGCCGAGAAAAGTTCCGGACAACGTGCGCACCCAAAAATGTTAAGGATTTTTCACATTTTTGCTTGTAAAATCGTTAAATGAAAGAATTTCGAAAAATCCAAAAAAAACGTTTTTATGAGTGACATTTCCCACCTCCATGCCAAAAATCAGCTCGAAACTCGGCCTGACGGCCGAGAAAACGGCCGTACAGAAAACACACATACGTCCATACACATACAAAAAACGACCCATCTGGCATTTCGCCGTGTTACATCCAATCGGTCCCGAATTAGGCACAACGGTGTATCTGACCCTAAATAACAACAATCCTGAGTTATAGCCCGATCGCTACAGTAGTTTTCGAGTTATCGCCAAAATACTGTTTTTCACGCAATTCAAAAGAGTTTTTTCGGCAATCGTTTTGGACTTTGCATAGATTTGCATCGACTTCCGGCTGTGAATCCCTAATTTCGCTTAAGAACTGGGGTGATTTTGCGTTGTAAATATCGCTTAAATCAAAGCTGATTTAATTTAATTAATTTTACCCTGAAAAAAAATTTCTTAAGGTAAAGAAGGACTACCGGATGATTTTCACTTAATGTTTAGGGGGTCTAATTCCACGAAAACTCTATGAAAAATGGAAAATAAAGTTTGTTTTCGCTATAACTCGAGAACTACTATAGCTACAGGGCTATAAGTCAGGATTGTTGTTATTTGGTTATTTAGGATATTAGGACCTCTGGTCCAAATTTGGGGCCGATTGGATGAACACGGCGAAATGCCAGATGGGTAGTTTTTTTTGGGACACCCTGTACTTTTCTCGCTTATAGGGTAGGATAAAGCCCATATTTTTCCGAGTCAAACCTGCCACATAAGACTTCACCAATATTTTTGACGTTTTTTTATGGGACATTGAAGCTAGGGCATTCTTACATTTTTAAAACGCTAAGATGGGTTGTAACTTTTCAAAAATTCTGGCCATTGGCTTGGTAAAGGCAAGGTCGCGTTTGCAAAGTTCGCAGCCGCAAAAGCGGGCACCATGCGGCATCCCTAAAGAATACCCTTTGCGTCAATACCTACCACGAAATAATTGGGCACAAATTCGTCAAGAGTGTCCAGTCTCATCAAATCGCCATTTTGTGGCTTTCGACTGAAATCGAGCATTTAATGGCCTCCCAAAAATCTTCACTTTTCCGTCCGCAACCAAATTTCGGCGGTGGTCCTTTGGTGGATTCGGTAACTTTGTTCGTCCACCAACGTGGCGTTAGGCCCGGGGTGCGTCTCCCCTTTTATAAAATAGAAGACGACGCATATGTTTTGCTCCTCGTTTTTTCTGACCTCCCAACAGAGTGCCGGCTGAAAGAACATTTGCCAATTGCCAGCCACCAACCTCCAAGCATCTCCAGCCCCAAATCACGTCGTCGCTTCCATCGCAGACCCACACGTGCGCGTAGCGTCGCCACCTGAGTTTTGGCCTTTTGCTTCGATATTCTTTGAACCATCTATCAATGGCATCAATTTACTCGCTGAAAGGTTCGTTGCGTGGTCCGCGAAATTGCTCCGAAAACATCGTGGAACTGACGTCAGAACACAAGCGTTTTAGTCTTCTTTTATGAATCGAAGCCGACGCAGTTGTTCACGTGTTCGCAACCCGAAAATCTTGTGCCAGATGCGCTGACTCTCGCAATGCAATCCCTCTTCAACTATCATAGGCATTTTTGCGCCCCGAAAAAAAAATCAACTTGATTTTCCATTTTGGATAACTTTTCCGTCGAATTAGCCCTTCACATGAGTGAAAATGATTCGGTAGATATTCTTTACCATAAGAAATTTTTTATGGACAAAAATTGATCAAATAAGCGTCGGTTTAAGCAATTTTTA